GCGGAACGAGGTGGGCGCAGTTTAGGTGTTTTCTGCTCCCCCGATGACACCTTCTTTTGCGAGTTTTTAGCTGCCGCTGCTTTCTTCTTTGCCCCACGCTTGACCACCAAGTTCCAGCCCTCCGAGCTGGTGGCAGGAGCAGGTGGAGGTGGGCCAACGTCATTGGGAGCAACTGGTTGCGCTACCTTAGAGGACGCCTTCTTTTTCTTCTCTTTCTTCTTCTTCTCCCTCTTCTTGTTCCCCTGCCGGCCAGGGTTAGCTGGAGCCATCAGGGTACCAGTAGTGGCTCCTGACCCACAAGCAATACCATCCACGGGCACAGGCGATGGGACTCGTTGCACTGGTAGCAACTTAGCCTCTATGGCCTCGAAGCGGGCAGTCATCAAGGTGCCCACCTGCCCCATTATTGAGCGCACCAGTTCTTCGGCGTTCAGAGGCACCGTTCCTGACGATGGGTTAGCCGCGTCCTGTCCCTGGGAAACCGCCATGCCCGTAATCATCCCCAGATTCACAGGAGGTGATTGCGGCGGTGGTGCTGTTCGGGCTCGATCCAGCTCCATCTTCATCGCAGCCACTTCTTTTCTGAGCTCAGTCATCTCCTTCTGTAGCTTGATGTTATCCGACCGAAGTTGGGCTGTTTCCTCAGTCGTCGTGCGCCGTGCCAGTTTGTCCACGGCACCAGCTATTACACTAGCCGCGTCCTTCAGGGCTTTAACAAAGCCACCCTTTAGGTTGCCCGACTTTGTGGCGACCATCTCTATGACCTCCAGGCTACTTTGCACTCTTTCCTGGAGCTCCGTCACTAAATCCGCCTCCTGACGCTCTTCCGTCGCGTTCTTGGGCACACCTGTTGAACGTGGGCTGGCTCTAGTTCTAAGTGCCGCCGCCCTTTCCGCCACTTCCTTTTGGGCCTTGAGCCTAAGCTCCTCCCTTCTGGCTTCATTGAGGGCTCGCTGGGCTTCGGCTAGTCCCACATATTGGCCAGTTGTTGGTGGCCGACCTCTCACGCGATTCATTGCTACCTTTGCCTGGGGCCCCTTTTCCTCCTCCGGCGACCCGGACTGGCTCCGGCAACCTTGGGCTACAGCAGCTTTAGATGGCATGCTGCCTACACCCTTCGCAAGCCTTGTTCTAACTCCGACCATCACAGGCCTCTCCTTCGCTCCACCCTTCTCGGGTAACTCATCGCCTCCGCCCTTCACGGGCCCAGCAACGACTCCGCCCTTCTCGGGCTCCGCCCCGACATCACCAAAGCAGAAGTTGCCCCCCCCAGAATTCGTGGGGCAGCACGCCGTAGCATGAAGGGAGTCCCGATGGATATGCACATCGGTACCCTCCTGGGGTAGTCTCTCTTTACTAGCTGCTTTCATGATGGTGTTTTGCTGATCCACAGTTTCGGCTTTGTATAGTGTATCAACTACCTGGTATCCATGTCACAGGCCTTGTACCTCACCATGGAACAAGATGGTGATGTGTGTTAATGTCCCAACATATTTATATTTATTTATTTAAACCTTCATTAGTGCTCGCCTCGGGTAGAAGTTGTGATAATCTGTTGTGCAAAATTTCATACTCCAAAACCCAGTGATTTAGGCTCCTTTATATCAAATTGTGTAAAGTGTCTGTTTGTAATGTCAAAATAACAGCTTTTTACTATATGCATATGGAATATATATTTACGGTATTTATAAGAAAATCACTTTTTTTTTTTAAATTGTCTGTCTATTTGTTCCGGCTAATCTCCGAAACGGCTGGGCCGATTTTGACAGGACTTTCACTGGCAGGCAGATGATGTTTTAAGGAGTAACTTAGGCTAGTTTAATTTCACTAAAAGAATTAGGGTTCCATTAAAAAAAATTAAAATGTACCTGAATCGCTAGTCTTTACATGTATATACATAAAATTCATCTAGTACTAAATGGCTAGGCAGCTTTTGATAAAAAAAATATGTACTTATATATAATATAATATAATAATAATATCATTTATTTCAACCTTCAAGGATCATATTTTGTTAGTAAAGACACACTGTAACCTAATGTTAGTACACATTTAACCTACTTAATCCTAATTATATAATGTCATGGATTCTTAGATGGACCCAGTAGGTGAGTGGTGCGGTTGTTGAAGCCCCGATTTTATTATTATCCAACCAAACGAGATTTTTCTGAGCGCAACGTCACCCGTCATACAGCATCCGATAGTTTCCTATACATAATAGCTTATAGTTTCCCCTATCTGATTAAAAATTAAGACAATGCCAAAAAGCCCTCTGCAACAAGTTCAATAAAAGTGTATTGTATTATACAATACAGTGTAAAAATGTATTGTAAATAAAATTTTCAAAGCTATAAATAAGCCTTTGCTTATTGAAGCTAGTCCAAATAAAACATGCAATGCTGAAAGCCTTTAAAAATCATACTCCATAACACATATGTACGTTATTTTGTTCTTTTCAGTCCGAATCGAATTTATTTCCCGGCGGACGCCATCCATTACCGATTCCACTGTGAAGTCGCTGAAAAGCTAGACAATAGATGAATAATGTTCTGACTTGCGTTTTTCTGAAACTCTATATTTGAAATTAATCGATTTTTCTAAAAAAAATATCTCATTTATTAATATAAATCGATTTGAAAACTTTAAAAGTGGAAAAAGCTTTTATTTTATTTTTATCTAAGTACTAGCATTGCCCGCAATTCCGCCCACGTTCAGATGACCGAAAAGCAAATTCTTAGGTTTTACATAATAGTATATTCTTACAATGCAGTTTTGTATTTTTTCTCAGAAATGAGATATTTTTCCGCGGTATAAAGTATCCTATATGTTGACCCGGATAACCAGCTATCACCATACCAAATTTCATCATAATCCCTCCAGTGGTTTTTCTGTGATGCGGTAACAGACAGACAGATAAAATTTTAAAAAACTATAGATTCGGCCTCTGTATCCATAATAATGTCTATTTCAATAAGATTTTCCAAAAAATATTTAATGTATAGATTCGACTTAGTTACAATTTTATTATATGTATAGATATCATAGAAACAATTTTATCTAAAACTTATAGGAATTCTGACATTTCAATTCAAATTTAATTGATTATTCAAATTCTTTACAAGCGACAGTTTCTTTAATGCCTCAGCGTTTATTTATCAAAATTAATTAAACTCAAACGGAGATATAATAGTAGGTTGTCTTTGATGGAAAAGCCATTTTAAGACCGATTGCCAATTTAATTGGTATCGTTATAAAACAGCTGCTTCACTCGCTTATCAATATCTGCATATTAATTAAGTTCAGGTGCGAAATGAAGACGAGAATTGAATTCTAAGAAAGTAAACAAGTAAAATAGTTGAGCATTATTTATTTATACTGACTTTCGAAATTATTCTATTCTATTCTTCTTTTAAAGAAAAAATACATAAATGTCACTTAGATAAATAATGTAGTTTAAGTGCAATTCAATATGAGTGGATATTTTTAGATATGTACTTATATGAGACGATCCTTGTATTACAAACTAGCGACTCACTCTCGCTTCCCTTGTCCCTAGCTTGCTTCCCCATACAAACTTTCATCCCCATTCTCACCCCCTTAAGGGATGAATTCCGGGATAAAAAGTATCCTATGTCCTTCCCAGAGTCTCAAACTATCTTCTTACAAAATTTCATCTAAATCGGTTTAGTAGATCCAGAGATTACCCCCTACAACGTCACAAACTCACAAACTTTACCTCTTTATAATATTAGTATAGAAAACTAAAAATCAAAACGTGGTTGGAGAACATATTGATTACTTACTTTTTTTTGAAGTCGGGACGAAATTATATACTTATGTACATACAAATGACGAATATATAGTTATTATTTATTTAAAAACAAACATTGTTTTATTCAACCACCATCGTATTGAAAACAAATAGCAAGAATGTCCGTAACTGTTTACTTATTACCACAAAACAAAAGGGCAGAATTACTAGGGACACATGAAACAATGAATTTTCGGCACACCTGAGGGCTGTGTCGAAATTAAATGCACGTTATAACCATTGATACTTCACCCTCTCGCTATTTTTACAGACAGACAGAAAAACAGATTCGTACATTTCACCCCTTTCATGAGTAATAAAACCTCGTGTACTGACAAAAAATAGACTCTAATACCTTCGATTACGTTTCCAAATCGCCTGGTGTAAAATACCAGCAAAGCTTAGGTGTCCAGTCCAGTTAATTGGTAAGGACAAATAGAGAGGTCAATTTAAAATGGTTTGTTTAATTTTCTGTCTACGGGGGTGGTCGTTTAATTAAGAGTGTGAATGATAGGTTCTATTCAACGTTTTTAAATATATTTTGATGGCAGACAAGTGATGGATGTATCTTAATGAAACGCTCGAGTTCGGAGCTCCTTTGTAAATTGGAAATAGGGGCAGAAGAAAATATCTCTAAATAAAAACGTGTTTTGGTGAAAATTCAATGCTTTACCTATTTGATTTTATCTTGCTTCTTGCTAATATTATAAATGTGAAAGTTTAGATGTTTGGATGGATATTTGTTACTCAATCACGCCAGAACGGCTGAACGGATCTGGATGAAATTTAACACAGAGATAGATTATAGTCTGCAATAGCCCATAGACTATCTAGCTTTTTATCTCGGAAAAATGTACGGTTCCCGTGGGATAGATTTGTTTTTGTTTTTATAAAGGCGACTAATCTATATTTTTAGGTTTTTTACTTGGCAAAACCTTGGTTAATTATCCAAATTTAAAAAGTACGGTATCCAAATTAATGTTGACGACCTAATAATGAAACTACTATTTAAAAGGCGAAAATTCGTATGCGTGTGTTGGTACATTCGTTACTCCTTTATGCTGGAACAGCTGGATTTGTATGAAAAGTACACAAATAGACTTAGAATAACATATAGGCTCCTGTCTAGAACAACTCGGGCAAGTCGCTTTTTCTATATTAATTTAAAATATTATCATTTTTGTTTCAGGCATCAGCAGCGCACTATCAAAGCCAGCTGTCGGCGTTGTCAGCGGAAAATGAGAGGCTCCGCAACGAACTGTCCGCGCTATCGACCGGCGTCCACGACAACGAGCACGAGAGGCGTCTCGACGATGTCGCTCAGCAAGTGGTGCGAGCTTTACTCTCACAAAAGGTAGCTTTTTAAATTTCACACCATTCATTGTACTAAGGAATGTTAACATAGTAAGGAGTAGCTTTTTTACTTTCACACCTATGAAATTTTTACATGTACCTAATTGTGCTTATAGTACACTGTTCAATTCAATTATTTATTTAATGGGTAATGAACTTTTTAAAAGTTTCAAGTCAGTATGAATTGAAAATAACTTTGTAGACAATTATTTCAATTGTTTTTTTTTTTAATTTAAATGGTAACAAACAGTATTCCTAGTCTATTTAACAAATAAAAAATTATTATAAAATATCACTAGACATTAGGCAAAGATATGGCGTTCCATGTATGTAGATAGACCGAAAATACAGCAGGATTGATAACCAGATATTCACGTGCCAAGTCCGCACTGCTCCTGAAACTTTCATGACTAAAATACTAACTCAATATTGGTCTGATTGGAAATCGAACTCGGAACCTTGCCATGTATAGCTGAACATACTAGACCAACCAGGCAATTCAAATATATTATGTATTTATTTATTTAGCACAATCTATTAATAAATATAATATGCCCATTTATATTCGATGAATCAATATGAATAATAATGAGTAATATTAATGTCTACACTACCGTAGTTTTATATATCCTGTGAATACCCATAAATCCTGTGTAGGTATATCAACAAATTTCGAAATTTGACTTTTATGCAGACATTTATTACGTGGTGGCTGATTCAAATTGCGCATATTTGAGTTTTTTCCTTGTGCGAATTATTTTTAACATAACTTACAACATGCATTTGTAGTTCTGAGTTCAGCTAATTAGTTTTTAAAAGACCGATAACCCAAAACCCATATTTGGCCACTTTGCACTACGCATTGCAGTATTAACCCCCAAGTGCAATGAGTAAAGACACGTGCCCAGCAGTGGGATGTTAATAGGGATGAATAATTATTATTATACATTATGAACTGCCGCGGTGGTGTAATGGCTAGCATGTACGGCTGCACACCCGGAGGTCCTGGGTTCGAGTCCCGGGTCGGGCCAAGTTTAGTTATTGAGTCTTTCTGTATAGTAAGCCCGGAGTTAGGAAGTTGGCGGTGTTTCACCCCCGTGCCTCGGATAGCACGTAAAGCCGTCGGTCCTGCGCCTTAACTCTCACTGGTCGTGTCGAGCGGTCGTCACACTGGAGTATGAGAGTGATAGGAATAGAGAGTGCACGTTGTGTCTGCGCGTACACTTGTGCACTATAATATCTCCTGCGTAGTTGGCTAGTCTCAATGAGAGTGGCCGCCGTAGCCGGAATCGGTCAGGAGAACATCATCATCATCATTATAAATTATACAATTTATTCTAAATAAGTATTCAGAAAAGTCCTTAAAATATTTTCACTTTTCTAAATACTTCAAACGATACTAAAAAACAAAACAAAATAATCCATTTCAAATGTATTCAAATCTACTGCCTTGAAAACGTGAATTAATTCGCGAAAAAAACCACCGAATCTCTTAATCCGGAGCATTAAGATGGAAAGTGGAAATTGTTTTCTCATAATTGTAGGGAGCCGTGGGTACGCAACACATTCGCACGTAAATCTTTTAAAATGGGACACTTCGGGCTAAGCTGGCACCGTAATAATTCTACTCAGCGTCCGGACCACTATAATCTTGGTATATCTGGCCGATAATGCGCGTTTGTTTAAATCAGAACTGTTAACTTGTAGATTTCTGCGAACTTTACAAATAAACATTGTACAGTATGTTGTTGATGTTCTAATAGAATATAAAATATATTTTGTCTATCCCATCTAATTTAAGATGTAAGAAAAGACGTATTTTTCAGAATTTAATAAGGAAAAATGCTTAGTTAAAAATGTCTTTAATATTAGAATTTCGACTAAATTTAATTAAGGTCAAATTTAAAAGTTATAATATACTAGCGACTCACTCCGCTCGAGTTCGTATCTAATTACGTTTTAACATTTAGTTATAGATTTCTCAGAGATGAGATATTTTCCCGCAATGAATTAAAAAGTACCTATCCAATATATTGACTCGGATAACCATCTATCATCATATCTTTCATCAAAATCCCTCCAGTGGTTTTTCCGTGATGCGGTCACAAACAGACTGACAGACAAAAAATCTAACAACTATAGATTCGGCCTTTGTATCGATAATAATGTATATTTCAATAACATTTTCCAAAAAATATTTAATGTACAGATTCGGCTTAGTTGAAAATTTTATCATATGTATAGACTATAAGATATGATTTACATTCAGGTATGTCTATAACACACGGTGTATTTTAACTAAGGGGTGAACAATGAACATCTATCACATCTAATCTGCCAGACGACGTTGATTAGGTACTTTACAACCGACCAAATGTTGCCGAGCAACGGTTCCTCCTCGTATATGAACTTAAGATCGCTAATTGAGTTATATTAAACTATAATAGATTTAATTAGAAAGGTATGGGTAATGTTGATGGGATTTATTTGAGTGTTTTATGTGTATATGAAAATTACATGCGTTTGTTCCATCTTATATGTGAAAAATTTACTAGGTATTTATATTACGGTAGCCAATAAGTAGGATAAAATCTGTACAAAAAATCACATCAGGTCAATATAAAAACCAACAAAGAAAAAAGAGTGCCTATATAAAAATAAGTTGCAGACGTTATGGATATAATATGTATATATGTGTAATAACAAACGACGTAGGTATGTGGGTTAATGCAAGAAACACCAAACCACGCACACTATCATGTCAGATATTAATAATACCTACTTATAATATTTTTACGTAAGACTGATTTTACTTAAGACAACTCGATTATAAATTAAAATCGTTTTATGTATTACATCGATTTTCCGTTATCCTAAATATATTACCTTCCTTTAAATAAACACTGTATTTACTTATTAATTTAGCAAACTTCAAAGCTGGCAACACTGAGAATGATGTCTCGCATCTCCCCTAATTACCTCCCGTCAATTACTTACTCCAATTTAATTTGGCCAATGAAGTATAATTAAAATGTACGAGTTTATTCGCAAATTCAAGAGGGATGATTTTAATACGAATGGAAATGACAAATATTCATATTTATTAAGATAATTTTATTATTTAAATGAAATCATCACGTGTGAAAACGTGAAAATTGTATTTTCGATTAATGCATAGTAATTCGAGTAATTTATTTCGCAGACTCTTAGTCGCGGCTGTGACATTCGATACCCTTAAGTATTATAGATCTTTGTCTATCAGATGTTAAAAAAAACCATTTGCTTTAGCAGTGTCTAAAAAAATATTACGTAGCTATAAGAGCTATCTTAATAACTTTAGGGCATAAAATACTTATAATAAAACAAATGTTTAATGCCATGTCATAGATAAAACTAAAACTAAACAACATGTACTAAAACTAGGCTGCCAAAACTTTCTAATAAATAATAATCATTGTTTCTTGATTTTTTTTTAAACAGCGCTGAGTTAAAACATTTTCTATGACCGTTTTTTCAGTTCTAGCACTACAAAAAGTGCGGTAACGACTTTTTTTTAATAATATTAATCTTAACAATCTTAATTATGATTAAATAGAAGCAAACTAATTTTACGTTAAAATAACAAATTTGCAGAGCGTCCGAGAAGAATTGGGATGCGCACGCGCAAGAATCCGCGAGCTCGAGACGCAAAACCGCGCGTTAAGTTCCCTACTAGTGCGACAGCTGCGGCCGCAGCCCCGACCGTCACCCGCCACCCCTCACACGCCGCTTACGCCGCACACCCCGCGGGATTTACAAGGTCTGTGTTATGGATACCAGATAGTTGATACACTACACATATATAACTTTATATAAATACATATTATAAATATAAACACCCACGACTGGAATACAAACATTCGTGCTCGTCACACAAATGAATGTTCCAGCGGGACTCGAACCCGCGACCGCTGGCACAACAAGTAGGGTAACTACAAACTGAGCTAAACGTGTCGTCGAATATTTATTGTACTTGCTCTATTAAAATTAAGCTCAGCAATGTTCTTCTACGAGAGAACGACCTAATTCCTAATTAATTAAAAGGTATCATATAAAATCGGTCTAGTTCTCACTTGTCATACAAAGATGTAGAGTAAATAAAACATCTATTCAATTCAATTCTCTTGGCTTCAAAGCGTGCTAAATGAACACAAATTATTTCGCCAGTCTCGTAGGATGAAGAAGGCACCAAGAAGATTGGTCGGAAAACATAAAATCTAAAAAGTTTTGATTTGATTGATTTTCAATGATATGACATTTAAATTCAAGCTCAATATCAAAAATTTTACATATTAAAGTCAGTATAGTCAGTTAGTGAGGAAGCTATCGCCAGTAATTGCAATAAATTCTGTGGGGAAGTAATAAATTCCTGCTGGGATGAACCATCGAAAAACAGTGGCTGCAAAATTAATGTTAAAAAAAAATTACTTACATTTTTCAATTTTCATACTCATTATACAATGTGTAAGTTACCCTGCGAAAAAGCCATACGGCCTCATTCTATACCCGAGCATTTTATCATCTAACAATTTGATAGAATAGGATAGTAAACTAATAATATAATCTTTTCCACCATTTCCAGTGCACCTAGTAGACGTAGGCTCGTGCGGGTCTTTAGTCTCGTTCAGGGACTCCCCGCCGCCCGCGCCGCCCGCGCCGCAGCCGCACCCGCTGAGCCAAGACGATAAGCGGCGTCATCAAATATTAGCGGATATCTGGACTGAGTTAAAGGTAAAGATGAAATACGTTTTACTTACACGAAAAATAATGTTTGTTTATAATTTACGTGTAATACCTACAATGATCCTAGTACGATGCAGTTTTTGATGAGTTTTTGTAAATTTTCATAGTACCCTCAAAATACGGTATATGGAGAGTGCTTACTTAATATTACCCAGTACTAATCACTATAAATATGCTGGATTAAATGTGGGAATAAGTGTAGGAACACCGGGGTAATCATGGAATGCAAGCCCTTAGCAATATCAAAATCAAACTATTGTTTTTTTAATAATTTTTACATCCATAATGAAAATTTCTATTGTGGTAGCCTCGGACAGTGATACTTTATGGCGAAATAAAAAAATCGTAGACCAGTCAGAGGTCACCATTTACTAAACTTATTGACATATTTTATTTTCTCGATAATGGCTTCAAAAGGTGCCAGTTCAGCACAGACTATATCGCCACAAACTATATATCATAGCCTTTTTGATATCTTACAATTGTAATATGAGACATTTTAAATATGAAAAAAAAAATTAATAATACGTCCTTGCAGCAAAATTAGTGATGCAATGAATACAATCTCTACTACAGGGCCTAGAAGTGACTCCGGCAAACCTGGCGCGCGCGCTTTCCGCAGTGGACCCGACGCTGTGGGCGCCGCCCGCGCGCCCCGCCACGCTCAGCCTCAGCGTGCCCCCGCCGGCCATCGACCACGCCGCTGGTAAGAATTGATTAAAGTTGTAAGTTTTACTGCCGGTAACCACGCTGCTGGTAAGAATTGTCTAAAGTTGTAAGTTTTACTGCCGTTAACCAAGCCGCTGGTAAGAATTGTCTAAAGTTGTGTTTTATTGCCATTGACCATGCTGCTGGTAAGAATTGTCTAAAGTTGTATGTTTTGGTGTCAATGGTCACGTCATTGGTAATAAATGAAGGTCTAAACTTGTAGTTTTTATTTAAATATATTATTGTTTTTAGCGTGCCACAGCCTGCCACTGGCACTGGCCATGCCGCTGGTAAGAAATAAGAATTGACTAAAATTGTATGATCTATCGGGATACGTTGTTAATTTTTATTCTTAAAATTGTTTTTTTTTTGGATTTTCATTTCATAAGACATATTTAAAAACAGTCCCTCGTAATTACAAGATATTAACTACTTCATTTTCTTTTTTACTGAATTTATATTAATTAATTCTTCTTTTAGTTAATTCTGTGTAAGTTGAATGTCAACAAATGATGAATAATATTTTTTTACATTAATAATTTTTCAAATTAGGTACGATAAAATAATAATAAACAATCACCCGAAATAAAGATTACGATTTTTTGAATAAAATAGTTCGTTAGTACCTACGTCTAATAAATTAATTATAAATACCATTTCAGGAGCTACAAGAGAAAAAGTAACAGAAGAAGAGAACGGCGAAGCGGGGGCAGAGTCCCCTGAGAGCGGGGCGAAAGACGAGGGCTACTCCACCATGTCCAGTGACGTGCAAGCCGACGCTTCACGTCAGAGTGATCACGCTGCAGACCGAGCCCTACCCGACTTAAATGAAGCCTCCGACGAAACAGACAACCAAACTATCGTCTCCATCAACCCCAGAGAATCTCGACGCCATGCCAGACTACTTGCTGAAGCCGATTATATTTATTTTCCCATAGGAGTAGCGTTCGCTGGTATTAGAGGGAGTTACCCACCATCCAGACCCGTATTACCCTTTCAACATGTTGTGAGAAGCTTCTCAGATTCACATTTATGCTTGAAATTGTTAACAAGTGCATCATGTCCCACCAGCTGCCTTGATACTCCCACCCCTAGTTCAGGGGTTCTAGTTTTAGATCTCAAACCAGCACCAGAAAGACCGTTACGAAGACCGGCTATCGCATCAACCACTAGTTCTGAAAGGGTGTCTTGGGGCAGTACGTTAGAAGATCGAGCGGACGGTTCCCAATACGATGCAGATTACGTACAACATTGGTTAGAGTTAGATGATGCCAGATCTGCCTTACAGCAAAGGCATAGAGATTTAGCGGACTTAGAATACGATAGAGCTGAACTAGAAGACTGGAGTTTATCCTTATCATGTGAGGATCTTAGAGACAGACAATCACCCTTCGCAGAAATAACCACACCCGGTCAAATATCCCTTTCAACATTACCAAGTATTAGAGAAGACGACGCGCTAGAATTAGAAGAAGATGTAGGCGACTGCTTGTGGAATGATTGTGGTTTTGCAACAGTGGAGATCGATGAGTGTAGGATACAGGATGAAGTTGAAACTTCAGAGAAAAGGTGGGAATACACGGGAACACATTCGCCCGGTGGTTCCTGGTCCAGTGCTTCTGACGGCCACGAAAAGAGATCGAGCACTGCTTTAAGTGAAGACGGTGATTGTGCTAATGTAGGTTTAGATTTTACGCGCGATTTCTATCGCCTTGTTAAATATGAAAGCACAAAGAGCTTAGCGTCGAATTCCTCTAAAGGTGTAACCACTCAAGATCCGGCGACCCATTTACGAATCAACGACGTTCAAACAATGGCATTGCAAGATCGAGAACAAGCGCTCCAAAACGTTCTTAATTTTATAGCGGAACAGCAGAAATATTGCCGTGATAGGGAGGAATCAGATTCAATGTCATCCCGTCCTGTGTCAGAAATACGTGAATTGCCTCCTCCTTACGCTGCAGCGGACTTCGACGACGATTCAGTAGATCCTCGAAGTGAAGTCTCCGAAGACAGACAGCGACCAGATTCATTCGGCAGCTTCTCTGAAAACGACTCCTGTGATGTCGTCATCGACAAAACGAGAGCTCCTTATTGTGATAGTGTATCCGAGCCACGATCTACACCTAGGTTTATTGAACGTGAAGAGCCTTATGCAGAATCGGAAGATTTTTACGATTTATCAAGAGTTGAAAACGCTGAAAATGAAATCGACGACCACCACTTACTAAAAGTCCAAAGAAAGAACGAAATTAACAGGACAATTGATATAAATAATTCCGAATCAGAAGAACCGAGCTCGTTAAAAGACGAAAAACCTTGTGATATAGAATCTAGTCGAGGCTTAGAACACACGCAGAGTGCTTTAAAAGAGAACACAATGAATATAATGTTAAACAAACAACCAAATGAACGAGAAATTGAGCCGGGTTTAGTGAAATCGGCAAGCTTTCCCTACTCTAGTGAGAATGATATCTCACTTGTCGATGAAGTGTTAAACGCTTGCAGGCGAACTCCTGGCGCGTTGGGAACTGTTCCTGAAGAAGAGGAAGGTTCTTCCCCAGAAACTAGCTCGCCACAAATGACTGAATCAAATACAACAAGCACGTCTACAGCTGAAACTGTGATAATAAGTAATAAGAATGAGGGGATTAAAGTAAGACGGAGAGCAGAGAAAAGTCGAATACCAATGTTAATGGGAGGAAAGAGGCCACCGTCTTCTCCTCAGAAAACGAAGTCGAAGATTCCGGTGGCAGAGAAAAGTCGACCTGCTTCGACCCAAGCGATTCCTACTCCTGAGCCAATTATCGTGAAACAAGAGGACACGCTCAGTTTTCATGAAGCTGCTACCTCCAAAGATGTCATTGAAGAGCTTAACAGGTATCTATAATTATAATATGTACCATATACTGCTAATATGAACACGTAATTAATCAGAGAATATTATCTACAACACAATTGATATAATGCATAACACGTACCTGATAATGGATTATTTGCGTGTATGACACTTTTTATAATCTATGCGTTATCAACATTTTTATTATTGTATTTATTCACCTACTTATGTCACAGCATTTAGCACTGGTGACTTTTTTAATTGTTATAAAAAAATCATAATACCGTCATCTCAAATTAAACAAACTAACAATGTCCTCACAAACTTTTCAGAATGATTCGACAAAGTGAAGGAGCAGCGGCGCCTTCGGAGACCAAAAGCGAGGTTTGCTCCGAGAAAACATACACACATAAAGACAACGCCCTGTGGGCGCCCACGGGCTGGGTGCATGTGGAGAAAGATATAGACTTCAGTGATCCAAAGGTACATACGAGTTTATTAATAATATTAATCCACTGTCAAACTCTGAACAGATTTCGGCCACGACGGTCAATCTCGTCTGGCGGTGGATGAATTTTCATAATACTTTCTTTCAAACTAAAACAGTTGGATAGACTTAGATTAAATTTAACACAGATTATGACGTAGAGTTACATAGGTTACTTTAAGGCATCCAGGGAACCAAAGCAAAGGTAAGTCGCTAGTGTAGTGAAGTTATGATAATATATAATATTAGGTATTTTTATAATCTGATAATTAATTATATGAATCTAGGCAGTGGTAGCCCAGTGGTACACCTTTTTTTTTTTTTTTTTAACGTTGGGAAATGCATTTACGCACGAAGTGTGGGACTCACCGGCGAAGCCAGTACTACCCACTAAAACCCAACAAAACCTTCCCCCGTCTTAATGGGGCGTCGCAGGATCGCTTACGCATTCAACTACGACGCCCCGACGGCAGGTCTGCCGAAGCAGACCACAACAACCATGGGGTTGCTCCACGGTCCACTCTGCTATCAGAGAAGTACCAGGAGCAACCCGCATGGTACACCACCCTCCGAAGAAGGCCGCCTCCCACCGCCCACCGAAGCGGGCCACCTCCCTGTGCGTTTCTTGGCTTCGCGAGTACACTACTGAGCCCCCCCACCACGACAAGGTGAACGCACGTTGGGGGGGCCCAGTGGTACACCTAGTCAAGTGGGCTTTAATCCCGGGTCTTGTTCTGATATTTACATGTGCGAATTTTTTTTTTCAACATGATTACCACTATCTTATGGTGTAGGAAAACATCGTGAGAAAACTAAGTTTACGAAAAACATGCGTAGTCCGCCAGCTAGCACTAGGCCAGCGTGGTGGACTACTGGACTTGACTGGACATGATCCCTCTTTTCCCTCTTTATTGTCCGGTATACATATCTATACATATAATAAAATGTAACTAAGCCGAATCTGTACATTAAATATTTTTTGGAAAATCTTATTGAAATAAACATTATTATCGATACGGAGGCCGAATCTATAGTTTTTAAAAATTTTGTCTGTCTGTCTGTTACTGCATCACAGAAAAACCACTGGAGGGTTTTTGATGAAATTTGGTATGGTGATAGCTGGTTATCCGGGTCAACATATAGGATACTTTTTACTGCGGGAAAATATTTCATCTCTGAGAAATCTATACTAAACCTTAAAACGTTAGTAGGGACGAACCCGGGCGGAGCGAGGGTGAGTCGCTAGTAATATATGTATATACGTTACATATGGATGAATACATACATACACATACATATATAATTCCAGGCCCGTGCCAACCTCCTAGACGTGATGCTCGCGTCGAGCGACTCGTCGCCGTCGTCGTGCGGCTCGCCCGCGGAGCCGCCGCCTTACTCGCGCCTGCACCGCCTGCACCGCTCGCGCAGACAGAAGACCGGTAAATACTGATTGTTTGTTTGTTTTGTGATGTACTTACTCGATAAGACAGGTGGATGCTTGTTGTTGATAATTATGGTGGTGGTGGCGTTCTTTTTGAAGTTTTTTTAGCGTCGTTATTATTTAGGTTTTTTGTACTTGCTTTTTTTGGCCACGACAGAATCAGATTTTTTATATACTTATATGCCTACATTTTCCTATATTAATTTTAAAAAACTCCTTAGTGTGATAGTATCAACTTTACCTTTTTAATACGTACATCACTATTACAATTATCATCAACAAGCAACTGCCACTAAGTGTTGTCCTCATTATCCACTTCTTCATGTGCATTATTAGGATATAAACTTAGGGGGAACGGGTCTTAGAAATTTATATAAGAAAAGTATTAATCTCTTAAATAAGTCTTAAGTTATAGCAGGGTATATCTAATTAAGTCACAATATTTAATATCTGCCCTGTAGTCTGTACACTCTATACTCTATGATCTTTCTAGACGTTTAGCATAAAAAATTATCTTCTAAATAAAATTTGATTATACAGTAAGCTTTCCATATACACAAATAAAAAAAAATTATAAATTTTACTGTGGAAATCTCATTAATGTATTTCTCTAGTAAAAATGAAAATAGTTTGGGATACCTTTAAATAGATATTTTGTGTTCTAACAAAACTTAAATATGTTATAGTCGAGTCTATTGTCATGGCTTTATGTGGTGGTAGACTTTTAAGTTCTCATATGGACGCTTTACTTGTATTTATTTATAGTGACTTATCTGTATGATGCAAATATTATGAATAAACTTAATGACTATGTATTTTCTTAATATATTTCAATATTAAACGTTAAATTATTATATAATCTATAGATAGTTCATAATATTCACATTTTAATTATCTGTTATATGTCATTGTTTGTGTCACAAGCCACGTCACTGTTTCCGCTCTCACTCACACGCACCATCTCACTCTCGCCTCATTCCGAGTAGATGTCATTTTACGCGTCTCCCCGTATTTGTATTGGATCGATTTAATTATTTTAATGAAAATTATTACAAATTTTTCAATCAAAATTTTGAAAACCATGTCAATTAATTTTATTTGAACAAATTTCAATTTACAATTGGAATGTCAACATGTCTCAAAATCAAAGTTTTAATTTAATAGTTTTTCAAAACCTTTATAATATGCCAAAAACATATTATGTACCTTGATATTATATTTAAAGAAGGCTGTTTAAAATAATATCCAAAGTATTATTGAATAAAGGCTTGAGACACGTTGACAAACGGCGGGGCGACGCGTATTAGTATGGGCGTACACGAGCGAGCGCGGTCGGGTGGCTCGGCTCAGACGCGCGTCGGTACAGCGGGGGGTAAGCGCTAAGTGTGTCCAGCGGCGGCGCTGCGCGTGCGCGGGCTGGGCGCGCTGCGGCAGGCGCGCCACCGCCGCCCCTCCATCCTCGGCCGCGAGGGGTTCTTCGTACGCTTTGCCGAGCCCGAGCAAGCCGCCGTCGCCACGTTCGACTTCTTAGACGACCTCTCCGGATCATCCCCTGATGCAAGAGTCGATAACACATCAGTAGATATGTGATAAGTGATAACTTGGTCCATCCATCCTCGGCCGCGGGGCTCCTTCGTACAGTTAGCCGAACCCGAGCAAGCCGTCACCACATCCGACTACTTAGACGACCTCTCCGGACCCTCCCCCGACGCCAAAGAGTCGATAACTCATCAGTAGATTTGTGATGTGATAACTGTTTATGTTGATAACGTTGATAACTAGACGTCAGCCAAATAGTTTAGTGTGTTTAGTGGTTTAGTGTAGCCGCAAGGCTGCAGCTTCGTCCGCCCTACTTAGACTTAGCACCGTCAGTTTAGTGGATTGTATCTGATCGAGTGGCGCTCCGGTTTTGTCTGTTATTCTGGTTTCTGGCCGACGCTGGTCGATGCTTGACGAGTTGCTTGAATGAATGCTTTCGAAAACGGTTGATTACTTTCGGCAATATCTAGCTTACGCTTCGAGCCACACTACGAATTAGGTAAGAAGACGTAATAAGTAATGACTAAGTAAAGAAAGCTGCGGCCTCGAAGTAATGTGATATTTTTGTATATACTGTAAGTCCCACTTATTTTCGTATACATTTAAATGGATTCCTTTGTAACCGAATGAAGCGTAATGTCGGAATAAGAGTGAAGTTTGTTGTTAGAGCCCGGTCTATGTGACGTCACGTGTGTGGCGCCCGACCGGGGCCGGTGATGTGTAATAAATAAGTACTTATGTAAATATGGACTATTATAATTTACGTATCGATTAATTAAAACTTAATTATAACTGATAGTCATATTCTGTAACAATCGTTTAATCTAAAATCCATTAAATCGAAGGGTACTAAAATATGTAAGTGTATATATGTTATGACGTCATTGAATGCTATTTATTGAGTTGTATCATTTGCGATGTCTCGATTAATTAATTATTTGTGTATACTTAGGTACATATCATGGGTCTATATTATTTTGTAATGCTGTCTTGAATAAAGCACAAGTATCGAATGATTTAGAAGTATTAATTGTCGATTAATATAATTTAAAATCTCTTGCCTTTATTCATATTAATTTGAATACTTTAACATTTATTATTTTATATGATATTTAGCACAAAAGCAGTAACTTATAATACGTTAACCTTTCTCTGCCTAAGTTTAAGTAGAAGCCAATGTTGCTTTAAATAACCAAACTAAATCATTCCATATTTGTCGTCAAGTGAGAGATATTGCTATTGTATTTTCCTTGAATACGGTTATGAACCTTGTAATTTTATAGGTATTTGCGGCTTATTATTATTGTAGTTATTCTAATGGCGGAACCAAAGCGATTATACACAGAAATACAGAATTTGCCACCACTTGTTACGCTGCGACACTTCTTGACCAATATTATTTTATCCAGCTTTGTTTTAATCGTAAATATTGAAGACAATAAGGAAGATTATACCTATTATTATTAAATAATATAAACGAATAACTCGATCGATATCTAAAATATGAACTTATTAGTATTTATAATATAGTATAATCATTGGTATATGTACATCCCTAGTTACGTTCGGATACACGCTGTAGATATACTTGTTTTATTTTCTCTAAATACCAAAGTTTTTTTTATTGATTTAATTAATTTAGACTTCTATATGATGTTAAATATAATCATTAATAAAATTATGATTAGATAATTTGTATTTATTTGGTATCAGAAGGTGCATACTAGCGCGTGTATTCGAATATATAAATATGAGTATAAACAGCAATATTTTATTTTAACTCTTGGATCCTAAGCACTATAGAGCATTATTATTAAAACTGTTCCTATGATCTTGACCCAGTCTGTGTGGGTATTATATAGCTATTATAATTGGCAAATATCATAAAAATTGTACCTAATCTATATATTTAACATTGTATCCATTATTGTAGGATCCAGATAATACTGTGATTTGTAACTACCGCTGAAACTTGAGCACAATTGGTTAAAAAAAAATAAACAGAAAAATTCGTGTATTTCAAATGATTGGGTGCATTTGTTAGTTCGTTCTAACATAAGACATAGAAATATTTGAGATAGGTAGGTACTTTGAACAGTACAAAATACGTAGAGTAACACTATAATTTTAATTGTCTACTGTAACAGATGGGTTGAATAAACGATTCCGTTCCCAAATGATATTTTTGTTTGATTTTCCCCCGTTCCTCTCATGTAAAAATATTTGTTTAAATGTCATTTTTGAAATGAGTCGATGTATGTGTGCCTATGGTATTATTTTCATTTCTCTTGAATTAAAATACTTTTTGGTTGAGTTTTGTTTTTATCGAAACATGTTTTATTTAGGCTTTCTGGCCGAGTTATTTAGGTTGTGTTAGTATTTTTTTTTTTTGGTTAAATTCTTTTATTCATAGACCACCTATTTTTAATTCATAGTTAACTACATTAGATGATAATTAATAAATTTGCGTCGTCTATAATCATTACTGTAATATGTATAAGTAAATCTTAATATGAGTAAAAATTTAATAAACAGAGCATTCTCATAAACACACTACCACTACTAATAAGTAACTTTATTATTCAATAAGTTTTCCATATGGCACTTGAATGAAGTTAAAAAGTTAGTTTAGAAATTATAAAGAACAAAAATAATACCATTAAGAATATTTAAAATAAAGCTTTGATCTTGTTCTACACCAACTTTGCACACATTACGAAAGGCCTTTCCTCTTCGTGAGACCTGAAACCATGAAAGGACAGGTAAATATCTTCATAATAAGTATCTAAATCGACATTATTTTGACAACACACTAGTTATTTTGTTAATAATTAGTTTAAAAACAATGGCATGAATATTAAGTTAAAAAAAATACAGATTATAAATAAAAACTTTATTTAAAACAGATAAACAATCTTGTCATGATTATCGATAGACCTCAAAAAAATCACAGACATATTTACACTTATCATAAATTATAACCACGAATTGCAATTTTTATTTGTCAAGCAAACAGTTTGCTATTGTATTGAGAATTTCGGTTTTAGAATACGTGTACGGATTGAATTGATAAAAAAAATTGCAATTTGCGATAAAACTACATCAGAAAATCAATTAACAACACTTTTACTTATGTATATTTTATACAACTATTTTTAAGCTTTATTTTAAAATTAATCATCATTCAAAATGTACAAATATTTGAAAATCGATGTAATCTATAAACATGATTAGCCTAATTATGGTTTCCAATACATATTTATTTTATTCTAAACCAGTTTAAATTGTCTGTGACAGACATTATGTCAGAGTAAAAAAAACTACCCTCAATCTTTGTCTATTATAGATTAAAAAATTGTACAAATCACGCTGCTACAGCATTACTAATTCAAAACGTTCCTTACTTCCTGTATTTTATATGTAAATATATTTATAACAATCACCTGTAACTTAAACTATTATTATATAATAAAGAGGAGAAATAAAATAAAATAGTGATCTGAGTAATACAAGTATTTGTGACACAACAAAATAAATAATACTTTTATTGTAGAGTATATCGTTTAAAAAAATGATTTTATATCCATATCAGCCTTATTTTAAACCAATAAAAACGCATATCATTTTCAGTGAAAGAAATATACAAGAACTTTATAAACGAAAAATGATTTTATTCAAAAACATTATGTATATTTCATCTTTAAATTCGAAATTGAAATTTTATATAAATCAAGATATAAAAAATTAATAAAATGATATATATAGCAAAAAGTTAGATATTATTTGTGACTAGAGGATAGTTAAGTAATTTAGGTACTCTTTAAAAATAAATATAAAAATAAAAAATGTAAAGGTACCCATTTTAGCCGATTGGGAACGATGCAGAAATGCAAAATTTACAAGATCTCGAAATTAGTTTTAAACATAGCGTAGTTTTAGCAATATTCTTAAATTTAAAAGAGACGAAATTTTAATAACTATTAAACTTATATAATCTATTGAAAAACGCTAAAACATATATAATGATATAAATAAATTATACGCACTCTATACCTTATGGTGCAGGTATAGGGCTTATCGAACTAACTCTCCGTTTTCTACTTTCCATACCAAGCAACGATAGTTGAACATTCTTAAACATCGCCTTTTCATCTAAAAGGACTAAGAGAAATCTCACTACATAATTTATCAGGAACCAACTATATGACCTTCGAGGCTTACCATCAAAAAGCCATACAATAAATGGTCACACTGACCGTATCATATGTTTACAATGTGGGCGTATAATGTAATCATAATATGCCCATCTAAACCCTATTATAATGTAAAATACACAGATTGGCTGTATTGATAACAATACCGACGAAATAAAAAATGTTTCCATCTATTGTTCCTACAATACAATTTACATAATTGACACAATATTTTACCTTGTTTAATTATAATTTTCACTGGATATACTCATTGTGATGATTCGAAATACTAATTTAGTATGAATATCGGTTGAAACATATTTTGAATTTAAATTTCAAAATGATCATTTACATAAACATTGAAAAAATGCTACATTAAATATAAATACCATTCCAAATCTTGTAAAATAAAGAGACCACAAATATCAAGAATATCTTATTAAGTAAATTCGTTACATGGCCTAATTTTTTTTTAATGGCTTTAGAATTGCGTTAACAGACGCAATACATTCTGCCAGTGTCACGTGAATAAGTTAAAAAATCCGATTATTAAATTCTTTGAAACTTCCAACAAAATTTCAATTGATTTGATCATTAGTTGGAAACTGCTGTCTTCAAAAATTTCCATACGCTAGTTACATAATATTTTCATTTATTACAAGACAATATCTCATATGAAATGCTTAAATAAATTAGCTAAATTACATATAATATTATAAAAATACAACGAAAAATATAGGAAAAATGTACACGAAATGGTGCTAAGACCATCGTAGGACAACATTAAAAAATCCTAACTCCATATTCTAGGTTTTGTACTGCCGGATGAGCATCGTTGTGTCTTCGTCTCCGTTTGGTCTTGGTCAAATATATTCCTTTTTGGACGTTCCGTGTGAGAGCTGTTGAAGTGATAATAATATTTAAATTAGCAAAAACTATTGATTATTGAACACAATTTACGTCAATACGTATTGAATAGAAATTAAAAATATGTAATGCTTGAAATATATGGCTTATAATAAATATAATCTATATTAAAATTATAGAGGTAAAGTTTGTGAGTTTGTGAATTTTTGAGGTGAGTCTGTGACGTTGTAGGGGGTAATCTCTGGATCTACTGAACCGATTTAGATGAAATTTAGTAAGAAGATAGTTTGAGGCCCTGGGAAGGACATCATTTCGGACCCTGGGAAGCAAATCATCCCTCAAAGGAATGAAAATGGGGATGTAAGTTTGTACTGGGAAGCAAGTTAGGGACGAACCCGTGCGAAGCGAAGGTGAGTCGCTAGTACTCAATATTTTGAAAGAGCCAAAGCCTTTCTTAAGAACAAAAACCTTCCAAGAGACATGTAAACTTAGCGTGAAATATTACTACCGATAGCATAAGCAACGAATATTTGATCTAAAGCTGGAAACATTAATATAAACATATTTTTCACTTAATAAATAATTATATTTACCCATGGTTTAGGTGTTTTAAGGTGAGCGTGAAACAAAGCTGTGATAAGGCATGCCTTAAAATTATAATAGTACAAGGTGCATGGACGTTAATTTTTTTACTATCACTTGCTTCAATAAATTTCAACTATAAAAGAAAATAATAAAATAACTTTCTATAGATGTAACAAATTCAAATACTTAGATCAATTATTTATTTTTTACATTTGGAAATAAAGTTAAAATTTATTTTATAAAACAGTTGGCATTTATTTAACCGACTTCAAAAAAAGGAAGTTGTCAATTCGACACGTATTATGTAATATTATTTTATACTGAGATTCTCATTAACGAATAACTTACGATATGTCCAACAAAAATCAGATGTGGTCACGAAAAATCTAATTTAGCGAATGTAATATTTATGTAGGTGTATGGTACAATACCTACAATACGTTTTAGGTATAGGTAAAATAACTTCGTGGAATTTAAAAGTTAAACGGTGATTTCCCTTAAAGATAAAAAATATGTGCCGTCTGATTGGCAAATGAAAGAACGCTGAACGCTAAAACCTGAAAAGTGGAGTAAATATAAGTAAAATGACTCTTTGCATATTAAGTTTAAAAACATAGTTTAGGTCGCTACAAACACATTAAGATAATCAATCTTTCGATTGAGAAGTCTGTGATGACATACTATCAAGTGTCTGTAAATTTTTAACACTATCAGCTGAAATAAGCTAAGGCTTACACCACGAAATAAAATAATTTCCAATATTTTTATACAGAAATTAATCAATAAAGTATTTAAATTACACATGTACGTGTGTTTTAATTTGAATAAAAATTAAAAATAAATCTCATTAAATATCGATCGTAAAAGTACATAAAAAGCAATTATAAATACATAATAAACTGAAAAGTTTCGTAATCAAATTCATATTAAGGAGATGATAAAAATCATAAGTCAGCCTTGCAATGCAATAGGTGCAATGGTCAATGAGACAGTTTTAATAAATTGCTGACAAAACGACACGTCATCAGGGTAAATATTACAACTGTAAAACTCGTATACAAAAATCTATATCTATACATATAATAAAATTGTAACCAAGCCGACTCTGTACATTAAATATTTTTTGGAAAATCTTATTGAAATAGACATTATTATCGATACAGAGTCCGAATCTATAGTTTTTAGAATTTTTGTCTGTCTGTCTGTCTGTTACCGCATCACGAGAAAACCACTGGACAGATTTTGATAAAATTTGGTATGATGGTAGCTGGTTATCCGGGTCAACATATAGGATACTTTTTACCGCGGGAAAATATCTCATTTCTAAGAAAAAATACCAAAACTGCATTGTAAGAGTATACTAATATGTAAAACCAAAGAATTTGGTTTTTGGTCATCTGAATGCGGGCGGAGCCGCGGGCAATGCTAGTATAGAGTAGATATATAGTAAAAATCTAACTAAATCGAATCTGCACATTAAATATTTTTTGGAAAATCTTTTTAAAAAAATCTAAGAAAGTATTATTGGAAAATCTTATTGAAATACTCATTATTATCGACACAGTGGTGAATCTATAGTTTTTAGAATTTTTGTCTGTCTGTCTGTCAGTGACCACATCACGAGAAAACCACTGGGCATATTTTGATGACATTTGATATGATGATAACTTGTTATCCGGGTCAACATATTTGGATAATTTTTACTGCGGCAAAATATCGCATCTCTGAGAAATCTATACTAAACGTTAAAACGTAACTAGGGGCCATGTGAGACACTTGTATGTAATATTGTATCATATTTTTCATGAAAAAAGTTTTAATATAATATATTAGATAATCTCATTTGAAGCTTCGCTAAAATAAAAGTATTAGTTCTCCTTCTTACATGGAATTTATTTTGTTAAAACAACGAGATCCGAAATCAATTTATTTAAGTCGAATAGACTTCGCAACTGAGTCACGTAGTTCTTTATAATTGTTAAATAATTATCGAAACAAAATGTACTCATTTAGATTCATAATATTATTTTTCATACCAAACCTTTAAGGGCACACCGAGGCAATTACGAAATAATAGCGTTCGTTTTATCCCTTGCTGTATTGTTATTACTAAAACTTTAATCATGCAATATGTAGGATATTTAACTGCCTCGGTGGTGTAGTGGCTATCATGTACGGCTGCACACCCGGAAGTCCTGGGTTCGAATCCCGGGTCGGGCCAAGTTTAGTTATTGAGTCTTTCTGTATAGTAAGCCTCAGTAACGGCCCGGAGTTGGAAAGTTGGCGGTGTTTCACCCCCGTGCCTCGGAGAGCACGTAAAGCCGTCGGTCCTGCGCCTTTACTCTCACTGGTCGTGTCGATTAGTCGTCCCACCGTGGCCGGAACCGGTCAGGAGAACATCATGTAGGATATTTAAGGATTTATTCTATAAATCGTACACTTTAGAAACAAGATTACTTGTAGTTTCCTCGATAGAAAAAAAATCCAAAATGATATCTAAAAATAAACCGCAAATAATTCAAGGAAGTTTATAAGTTTTTTAATAATAACAAAACTATACGTTTTCTATATCGTATACAATTTACAATTTCAAAATGTGTATTATTAAATACGAAGGAAATATCTAAATTCGCACGCGTTCCGTTAATCCTAGCCACACCCCCACCTTCCAGCTGACGTCCTACTAAAATAAATAACTCGGTGCTCTCAATCAATGAACACAAAATACCTATGTAATATACATGTATGAGAAAACATTCGTCATTAGGAGAAGATCTGACGTAATCGTTATGCATGGCATAATTTGTACACTGAGAGAAAGTATGTAGCTTATTATTAACTAGCACACTCGTTTCGCTCTAAAGTGAGTCTTATATTAGTGTGAAATGAGACCACTGTTTATTTACTGTTTTTATGTTATATTTTATTAATATATTTTACAAGCGATATGATGTGTATCCAGCATCATGGCGAGCCAAAGAGAGAGACCAGAAGGGCGGCATAGACTATAAATTCATAGATAATAAATATGTAACAGTGAGGGCCGGAAAAATCATGAAACTTTTACTTTATCTCCCTATTGCATTGCATTGTTATGCCATTTTCAACTGAATCTTCTAACGACCAATAACAAAATTTTAGCCTATTAAAATCAATTATTTAGCAGCGACCGATTTGGTTTCTCAGTTTAGTTCTCTTAGTTACTCTATCAGCCAATGAAAGTCCCTAAGATAAATAATCAGTCTAAATGCTGCAACTACTGAAGATACTAAACACGGAAGACTGAAGAGTCAAGATTCTAAAGAGCTTGTACAGTGAGTCATCAGCGGGTATATCAGTACCAAAATAGAAAATATATACAGCTTAAGAGTGTATTGGTCTTTTGTAATTTATAAAAAAAAAATGGTTAACCATTTTGAAATCTAAGACAGACATTCGAATCTTATTTATAGGCAACGATTTTCTATAAAAACAATTTACCACTGCCATTCTGTGAAGCCTATTAAAAGCTATGATATAAGACTAAGTAGATTAAATCGTTTCAATTGTATTATAAAGGATTTCTTTAATAAAAATAAAGCGATTCACTATCAACATAAACTATAGTTTCAAGCTTTATAGCTCGTAAAATTCATAACTTTACCCTGTGAGCGTTCGTCTTTAACAGATATGTATTAAGACAGATATAATATATCTATTATATAAATATATATATATACTAGCGACTCACCCTCGCTCCGCTCGGGTTCGTCCCTGGGGTGGGGTCTGGGAGAACCACCCTTTATCACTTAGGGATATGAAAAATAGATAGTAGCCGATTCTCAGACCTATTGAATACGCATATAAAATTTGTTAAAAATCGGTAAAGCCGTTTCGGAGGAGTACGGTAACAAACATTGTGACATGGAAATTTTATATATTTTCAATTTAATTCAGCATGCTATATTTTTGTATATCTAATGTAATAATTATGAAATAAATTATTTAATTATGACGTAATATTAAAGACAATTTACTGTACATATAAATTAGATCATCCAACCGCAAAAGTCCACGTAAAGAACACAAATGGATAAACAAAAGTTAATGAATCAGCTAACATCCTACGTGAGACAAGAAACGTAGGATGCCATTATCTGACAATAATGAGTCTTGAGTGTGTCAATATTATACGAATTTTAAAGTGAGTTTTACTAAACATGTTCTCAATTGAGAAACATTTACCCCCAAAAGTTTTATTAACATATAATACCTATGTATTCAGCCTTTTTTTTTAACGTCCCACTGCTGGGCACGGGCCTCCCTTCAGTACGAGGGGAATTAGGCCATAGTCCGCCACGCTGGCCAAGTGCGAGTTAGCGGACTTCACATATCTTTTGAAAACTTGCTAGGTTCCCTCAGACATGCAGGTTTCTTCACGATATTTTCCATCACCGTTAAAACAAAT